AGTGAGATTCGGGACAGGCAGGGTTACACAGCACAGTGAAACCCTTTCTCAAAGAGAAAAAAAAACAATATATATGTATATTTCCAATAATTCCTAGGAAGGAAACTGAATTTGAAACAAGATCTGCTGCCCTCTGCTGGCCCCTCCATCTCTGGGCTGTTTTCTTTACTCCTTGTCTGAGAGGTGCTGAGAAAGACAGAACCTGACAGCCCTCGCCCCAGACATAATGGGAGCAGTCTCGGGTACTTTTGTAAAAGAGAATGAAAATTAAAATTTCAGCTTGTCACTATATTAGGCAGACTTTGTGTGGCTGTAAACAAAACGCCTGTTAGAAATAATTCAGGGATTTTTCAAAGGTCTCATTGATTCTGGCCTGAGCGAGGCAGAAGAGCAGCTTATCAGCAGGAAACAGAGGGGAACTACAACAGAAGGGGCCAGAGCAAGGTGGAGCCCCCAGGGCATGCCACGGGCACCTACCCTGACCACATCCACCTTCCAGGCTTCATCACTTTCCAACAGCCTAATCATATATTTTTAGACTTATTTATTCTTATTTTATGTGTATGTCTGTGTGTGTGATATTGTTTGCACTGTAACAAATAAACCCTATTTGATAATTTGACAGGAAGGAATATTGCTGGGCAGAGAGATGAATATAAAGTGGGAAGAGACGGGAGCTTGGTTTTGTAGAGACAGCATTTAGTCTGAGGACTTGTAGCGACAGGGTACCCCATTCGGTCTGAGGATTTCATAGAGGTGAGAACCAGTGGCTGGCTGCTCTGCTTCTCTGATCTTTCCGCTTTCACCCCCTAATATCTGACTCCAGGTGTTTATCATTAAGACCCGTTAGAGTTCACACGACATCTGTGCACCACACATGTGGCTAACACCCACAAAGGCCAGGTGAGAGCATTATATCCCCTGGAACTGAAGTTACAGATGGTAGTGAGCTGCTATGTGGGTGCTGAGAACCAAATTCAGGTCCTCTGAAGGAGTAACAGGTGCTCTTAACCACTGAGCCATCTCTGCAGGCCTTCTATCCACATTTCGAACCCATCCATGGCTTAAACAATTGATTAGTTCAGAGACCCCTCACAGACACACCTTGAGATGTTCACAATCCAGCCAAAAACGACAAGATCAGCCATCACAGGCAACAAAATGCTGTAAGTGCAATGCCAAAGAAAGGAACAAATCATCACATAGAGGGGATTTGAAGACCTGATTCCCGAGTGCCTGGGCCAGATCAGGACTGTCAGGGGGCATCTCAGCAAGCCAAGAGGGGCATTTGTGAGGAAGAAAGAACAGCATTCCCAGCCCCATCCTCTTCTTACCCCTTATCCTAGGCCTCATGGGACACGAGTACCCATTTTCCCCAGGGCTGAACATGTGGCCCCTGAGAAGGATGTGTTCTCAGAAGGAGAGAGAGGGAACTGCAGCCTGGAAGAACAAACCGCTGTGAATACCTTGGCTCTCAGAGTTTGTCTGGCAAGGTGAGAATGAGCGTGAGACCCTGGGAGCAGAGCTCCTCCTGGATCTGTCTCAGGCCCACAGCAATAAGGTTGCCTCAAGGGCAAAGGGATCCTGGCTGCTGAGGAATTCCCTGCTTCTGTCCTTCCACTCTCTACCCCTAGAAGCATCCTCTTCAAGACCTGTAGACCTAGACCAACCCCCCAGGGTCCTGAGCACTTCTAGACACAGGAGAGAGACCCAGAGTCACTAGCCTCCTGGGCCAGCCTGAGCACAACTACAGTATCTAGGATGGCTGTCCAGATACTGGCCAGACCTTCTCACCAGTCTGTTTACAAGATAAACATGCATGCCCCCCTAGACCTAGAAGGCAACCAGATTGCTGCTGTCATCGTTGGTTAAGAGTGTCCAGAAAAAACTGCCTTGGATTTGCCGTGGGCACAGAGAGGACATGGAGAAGACGCACAAGAGGGACGCAGGCCCCATGAACATAGACACAGAAACTGAAGCTGTGCTGTCACAAGCCAAGAAACATCTGGAAGTAACCAGAAAAAGCAGGAGGCACTCTTCCCGAGTGCCAGGTCCTTCTGACTCCTTTACCTGGAACCTCTAGACTCCGGAAATGAAGAATCCCCACCACTGTAAGCCCCTCTGCAAGTTATACACTGTCACACACACTCTAGAAAACCATGGGACCTCCAGTCACAGCAGGGATAGATGGAAAAGGGGATGCAGAGCAGGGCTAGGGCCCAGAGCTCTCTGTCAAGCTATAACTTTCAAATGACCCCCTCCTGCAGCCACCCTCCCCTGCTGAGAGCCCCGGAAGGAAAGCTGGCATCTGCTCCCCAAGCCACCTACAACAACACACCAGAACCCAGGAGGCCTTGGCCTGCCTCCCTGCTCCTGGTAACCTACCCTCATCCTGTCCTGTAACTAGGAAATTTTCCATCATCCTACCTCCAGGTCAAAGTCATTAGATTTAATCATTAACGGGGGGAGGGGGGAGTGTTAATAGGGTAGAATGATTACCCATGCTGATGTGGACACAGCTGGATGTTAAGAACAGCTGATCTGACAAGCATCGGAGACGCAGGACCTGACTGATAAAAGGCTGGAATGTACTCCTGGTATATCACCCACCCCCACCAGGAGTTCTGAAGGCATCAATAGCCCTTTCCTAGGCCCTGCTTTGGCAAGCACCAAAGAAGAAAACATTCGCAAGCACGCAGTGGATGTAACCCATTTGGGGACAAAATAAGCCCAATCCTCTCGCTAATATAACAGGATTGCCTCTTGTTAAGCCAGTTTCAAGGCTGAGGAAATTAAGCTCAGGGCACATGCACACACCTTCACAGTCACCACTCCATTCGACCTGCGGAAGCTGTGCTGGGGACCGCTCCACCTCCCTCCCGCCAGACAGGCCAGGGAACTCTCTCTTTCCTCTGACCTCCCTGGACACCCTAGACCCTGCCATCACTGCTACACAGCGGCTCCAAGGACCCTCTTATCATCCCCACTAAGCCTCCCTTGGCCCCCACCTAGCCTAGAACTTTCAGAAAAAGGGAAGTCGGAATCTGGAGACTGAGACAGAAACACTGAGAACAGCAAGGCATTCTGGGACTAAAATTTAAGGGAAAGGAATCTAAGTAAACACCCTGCAGAGTGGAATCTCATAAGGGACCAGATAGAGGAGCCCTCACACTGAGGTTGTGCATGGAGACAAGCCAGGAGGCCTCGCACCCCCAGCACTACATCAGATGTGGGCTGCCTCTGGGTCAGCTCCCTTACTCCACGGACCCTCAGCAATGAAGCATGGAGATTCTGACACCGAAAAGGAGGTGGGGGGTGAGCTCCAGTCAGAGGTGGAGATTGTGCCTTCAGGTCCTTCAGTCCAGGACAAGGGGACAAAAAAATGACTCTCTTTAGAGGACACAGTGTCCCTAAGAGTGTGTGTGGGAGGGAGAAATTAAGAGAAAAACAATGACTAAGGCACCCATGCCTTGTCTCCGTTAGGTAGCTTCACCACTTCTTCCGGAACCCCTGCCCTGGGATGTGCCCCACTATCCAAACAGAGCAAAGAGGCTGTGAGAGGGGGCATGGCAAGGAAAGGCGTTCCCAGAGTCTCCGCTACAGTGAACAGCAAATGGAGGGCCCACTGCTGAGTGGCTGCAACCTGGCCTTGCCCAGGAGAAAGCTGAGCCTGCCAGCTGTGTAAAGAGATCCCTAGGGGAAGAGGGGGAGGGGGAGGGCGGCTATTTTTGGAGGAAAGAGGGGAAGGGGCCATGGAAAGCCTTATAGAGGATCCCAGACTGAGGGTTAAAGCTGCCCTCTAGAGTGGGGGGTGGGTAGGTGACCAAGACCCCATTCTCCTGGAGCCATGCCTAAACCTGCGAGGACCCTGCCTCATACATAGATCTAATCTACTGGGAAGTAGAAAAAGATAAGATCTCCTGAGTAAATTGGGAGCATGGGGTCCTTGGGAGAGGGTTGAAGGGAAAGGGAGAGGCAGGGAGGGGAGCAGAGAAAGAAAGAAAGAAAGAAAGAAAGAAAGAAAGAAAGGATTAGAAACTGCTGTCATGGCCCTGTTGTGTGCCTCCTCCGGCACTGGAGGCTTTTCTTCTCCTCTATCTCTGTCCCCTGTGCCTCCTAAATCCATCAGGGGCCCCTCCCCAGTGACCCCACCCTAGTACAGGGCACTCCAGCTCCTATGAGCATCCTTTTGTCCTCACTGGTCCCATACCAACGCAGTACGTTCTCCTCGTGTCCTGTCCCAGTAAAGCATTTTCTTCCTTTGGCCAACAGGGAAAGTGGACACCAGACATCTGTAAACAGTCCTCCCCTCCAGAGGGGCGCCCTTCTCCATCCTGCCCCATCTCATCCTCAAGCTCCCCTTGCAGGCTTTCACCTCCTCTGAAGTCCCATAATGTGGCAAGCAGAAAGTGAAATCTAGTTCGCAAGCAGGATTGGCTTTCACCCCCAGGCTCCTTCTTTACCCTAAATGGCCCGCTCTTCCCAGGCCCTTGGCCCTCTCTCATTCCAGCCATGCTCTTGAGACCCTCCTCAGCCTGCTCCTCCTCTCCCTGTTCGGGGTGTTCCCAAAACTGGACAGGATCCAAAGCCCATACCTGCCCTCCAAGTTTTCACTTCCACTCTAGAGTTTTCCTCAAGGAAAAGTCCTCTCTTAGTCTAACCTTAATCTCTCCTGCTGCGTGCCTAAATGCCCTTTCCACCTTTTCTCTTTATGGAATCTCCTTTACATCATAAATACCATCTTCCTCTCAGACTGCGCCCTTCCACTTCCCCAGACGCTGAAACCTGCCCCAGCTTGAAGAAGTTCTTGATAGCCCCTTTTCACATCTACCTCCTGCCCAGAGTCTAGGATACCTGGATGCCCGCCTGCCGATGGACTACGACAGAGACCCGACCAGGTCTGGCTCTCCAGCCTGAGGGGCCGCGACCTGCGCAGCCGCCAGCGCAGCCACGACGGGGTTAAAGCTCAGGACTTGGGGAGGAGGGGGCCGGGAGGGGCGGTGCGGAGCCAATCCGCAGCAGCACAGTCCCCGGGCCGAGTGGGGCGCGCCGAGCCGGGAGCTGCGAGCCGAGCCTAGCGCCCGGCTAGGGCCGGGGCTGGAGCGCAGCGGAGAGGGAGTCCCGAGTTCCCAGCCCGAGTCCCGCCGCCGCGGTGCCCCACGCCATGGAGCCGGATAACAGCCCACGGAAGATCCAGTTCACCGTGCCGCTGCTGGAGCCGCACCTGGACCCCGAGGCGGCCGAACAGGTATGGGCAGGGCGGGGCAGCGGTACTCAGCGAAGGATTAGGGACCGGGTCATGGAACCTGAATCCTTGCCCAGCCCCCCTGCCTGGCCCCGCACCTCTCCGGGGATGCACTCGCCCAGTTTATGGGGGGTTTCCGACCCCTCCCCCAATGGCGGAGCCACGTCTCCCAGTCAGTGCGGGTCCCTGTGCGGGGTGTCTCCGAGAGCGTCGTTTCCCTCTGCCCTGCCTTGGGGACACGATCCCTCCCCCGCTGGCGACCTTGCGTCCCCTCACTCTCAGTCAACCCCCGGAGTTTCCCGGCTGGGTGTTGGCACTGACCGCCGGGAGAGAGCACAGGGCGGGGGGCGTCAAGTGTGAAAAAAGACAGCTCCGCCCCTCCGACTCATCCGCACTTGGGCTCTGAGTGTGGCACCCAAGGGGATGGAGACAGCGATGGAGGAGCTTTGAGGCGAGGGCGGGGGTCTGCAAGCTGATGTTTGTTCCCTTCTGCAAATAGGAGCACGTGGGTCCTGGGTCTAACTCCTGCCCTTTGGAGTACGGGGTGGGGGTGGGATGTGAGGCTCAGTGCAGTCGACTAGAGCATCTAGGGCTGGGGTCAAGTCACCAAGAGAGCTTGGCTCACGGGGTGGGAGTGCAGGGCCCTGGCCCAGCCTCCTGGCCTGGCCTATTTTTAGCTCAGAACAGCCTGGCAGAGGCGGCAGTGTGTGAGTGAGCAGTGTGCTTCAGCGTCAGTGAGCGTATGGAAAGGCTACTACTACCTGCAGCCTGTCTCTTTGCGCATTCCCTGGCCATGTGGAGACCAACTCCACAGGAGCATCTAGCTCTCTCCAGGCTAGGGCTGCCGCTCACTGCAGAGCTTCCCACCTGAGAGACTCTGAGACCTCTGGGGATGGGTAAGAGGGAGAGATGTTTCCACGTTGCTTAGGCTGATTGATAGAATTGGGTGTGGACAAAAAGGGGACAGCGCATGTGCTCTTTAAAACTTCTGCTCCTCCAGGCAAGGGAGGGCCAGGTACCCGGCCTTCCAGCACCTCCAGAACTCACCTCACACACCTGAGGGAGAGGGGAGATGGGGAGAAGGAGGAGGAGGAGGAGGAGGAGGAGGAGGAGGAGGAGGAGGAGGAGGAGGAGAAGTTGTTCCATGGGCTCAAGAAATAGGACTATGCCCTAAGACAGGAGATTGACTAAGATGACTTCTGACCCAGGAATGGAAGCTCAGGAGTGGGGAGGAACCAGAGGTTCTGAGAGCTGCCTCGCACTGGCAGACAGGATATGACACCTATTTCTGTTTGGTGTTGAGGTGGGAGGAAGGAGGGCAGGCTTACTGATTCACGGAGTTGGGGGCAAAGGAGCATATGTGGGCACGTGACAGTGTTAGGGAGCCAAAGGGGGCAAAATCTGGGGCTCTGCCCACTCTTTTCTAGTCTTCAGAAATCTGTTTCCTGGGCCTAAACGTTTGCCCCCAGTCCTTCCTGTTGTGTTACCAAGTGTGTAGACAAATGTTCCAAGCATAGCAGGAGCTCCTACCCCAGTGGGAAGCTAAGGGCACAGCAGAGTTGGGAGTGGGGGCTGCACCACAACCTTCATATGCCCTTGAAAACCAGGAGAGCTGGGGGCAGAAACAGAAAAGAGACCTGTCTGTTGGTTGCCTAGGACCCAGGGAGTCTGGCTCTCCTCCCTCTGACAATATCACAATTCTCAAGTACTCAGGGTCCTTCAAATCCTTGTCTAGGGCAAAAAAAGTCTGTATGGGACCTGTTCAGCCCCTTGGGCTCCCAATATGGGTGCTGTTAAGTCACTAATCCTCATTCCACCCAGGCTCAGTGACTTCCACTCCTCTCCAGTGACCATCCCAACCCCCACTAACCATCTCACCGCCCCCCCACTCAGTCACAAGGCAAGGAGTCAGATCCTAGCAAAGAGAGGGTCCCACTGCTACACACATGAAGCATCTTGTACCAGGAACAGCCAGAGACAATTCACACTTAATATCTAAACACACACACACACATGTATGGCTCTACTGGGACCTTGAAACATCACTAAAAGCAGATGTCACTGATGTCCCCTGAAGCCCCCTTCCATACGTGCTTTTTTTCCTTTGGGAAGAGACCCTCTGGCTCACACAGGCCCTCCTACTATTCCCACTTTCTAGGCATCTTGTCACCTCCAGCTACCACTGCCAGTGGTGACAATGCCAAGTGATAGTACAAACACATCAAAACCTGATCCTTTGGGTCCTCACTCCTTCCTGCTTCCCCACAGCTGTTTGCTTTACCTGAGAGAACTGCAGGAGCTCTGGAAGGTCTTCCAAACCTTCCCCAGAAAGGGAAAAACTACACCTCCCAAGAGTCAGTGGAATTCAGCAACAGTCAGCTTAATAGCCAGCGGGACAACAGTTAAAACCGCCAGCAGGAGGGAGGCTAGAGCCCAGCTGGATCCTTAGCCACCAATCAGCTTCACACCCCAGTTTCCCCTGGGGCTGGTCAGGACCAAGACCCCTCCTCGCATCCTGTTCACCATTGGGACCACTTCCCCTGTTCCCTAACTAATCAGAAAGCCAGTGTGTCCAAAGCTAAAGAAACCTCATAGTGTTGAGGAGCTGTGGCGGTCAGGGGAGAGGTGTACTCAAACCCTTCTTCCTTCACGATGGGAGAGCCTAAGGGATCCCTTCCACAGACGGGTCCCAGCCCTTCTGCAGACGGGTATGAGCCCACCAAAGGTTAATGTCTGCTTAGGGACTGGACTGGAAGCTGAGGGAAGTCCTCTGACCTCATGTTATTTCTGAACATTGATCCAGGATTGACCAGAAGACAACAGAAATCAGTGCCCAGAGTGGACAAAGCTGTAAGGAAAGCCGAGTAGGGCAAGAGTGGGGTGGGAAGGCAGGCCAGGGAGGGGTCGCATAGACGGCCCAGGTGAACTCCACACGGTAACATGACACTCTTTAGAGATGGACAGAGTTAACCTGAAAGGTGTTCCTGGTGCGCTTCAACCTCTTCCTCCTCCCCTGACACAGATCCGGAGGCGCCGCCCCACCCCTGCAGCCCTTGTGCTGACCAGTGACCAGTCATCCCCAGGTAACCCTGGGACAAGTGCTGGGAAGAAGGGGGTCCTTGGAAGAGGGTGGGTGCTAGAGAGGAAGGGCAGACCTGGGGGTAAGCGTTCACCCCAAGATGGGGCTGTGCTAGGAGAGGAGGGCACTACCTGGTCCCTAAGTCTCCCAGGAACTGGGGTGGTCAACTAAGTGCAGGTTGCTGTGACAACAGCCTTCTAGGTTTCTCCAGCAACTGAGATGTCACTGTCCCCACTTCCAAAGGCAGTGACAGCTGTGAGGGGGAGAGACCGCCTCCATCAGCTGGCATCAGGTCCCGGGAGGAGGGGGGACGGTTTGAAACAGCTCAGGGAGAAAATGGGATTCTGGTCACCAGAGTCCCCACCAAGGTCTGGAAACAGAACAAGGTCTTGGAGAATGTCAGAAGAGCTTGGTAAGTATGCAAAAGAAGTAACCAGGCTAGTCTGAAATCTGGGATGCCCAAGTCTCCAGCTTCCCCACAACTTCCGTAAATGATGCACATGTGTGGGCCTGATCAGAACGAGTTTGGTATTCTCTCTCAGGGAGCCCTGCTCCTGGGAAAGCTCAGCTCTGGCTTTGGGGGTGAAGAGGAGGGAAAAAAGCAGAAGGACCCCAAATCTGCCTTCACAAACGTCAAGGCCTGAGGCCAGGAGACAGGCTTAGGCTACAAGGCCTGAGCCTTGGCAAAGCCAAGCAGCAGTACAGGGGGCTCCAGAGAGAGCAGGCTCCTGGGACAGCTCGGGATGCAGGTGACTATGGAGTCCCTTCTCCTTCAGAACTCAAGTCTTTGGGGACTCCCAGGATTTCCTGCTCTTATCACTGGCTTTGTTGTTGTTGTTTGTTGTTGCTGTTGTTGTTGTTGTGTTTCCGATTTCCCTCAGAGATAGATGAAGACAGGATCCCCAACCCACTTCTCAAGGTGAGCTGGCCCCTCCTACTCAGTCCAGCCTCAAAAGTCAAACCCTGGCCCTCTAGATCTAGGGTGTGGCTCAGTGAGAAAGAGCGCCCACTTAGATATACAGGCCCTGAGTAAGCTCCCCAGAACCCAAAGCAAAAGCCTTGTTCCCCACCAGTAAGGCCTTGATGCTCATCTTACAATCTCCATGCTCAGCCTGGCGGAATCTTCTTTCTCCTGAAACCCACCTGCCCTGACCTCTAGTCCAAAAGCATGCCAAGGCAAAGGGGGTGAGGGAGGACTGGCACCTATCCAGGTTCTGTGTCTTCACAGTCCACTTTGTCAATGTCTCCACGGCAACGGAAGAAGATGACAAGGACCACACCCACCATGAAAGGTTTGGCATCTCCTTTCCAATTTCCCTTCTGCCTGAAGCTAGGGAGAAGATCTAGTAGCCCTGTGCCAGGAACCCTTGGGAGGTCACTGGGTCTGCCTTTATTTGAGTAGAGCTGGTGCTATATGCAGGAGTCTCTTGTAGCCCAAGCCTGAATGCCACCTCCTCACTATGGTAGATAAATAGCACGTGACCTCATCAGCACAGCATGTGGAAGGTGCTGTATTCCTTGACTCCAAACTGAGGCCTCTCTCCTGCCCCTAGGGAGACCATGGACACTAGTACGTTAGGAGTGTCTTGTGTACGTGAAGGCTCTTTCCCTCTCCTACTTGCCTTTGAAAGAACATTTATGCTCCTGTTTCATGTCTCTCGTTGTTGCCCAGTCAGTGTTCCTCCCTGTTTAGGATCTCATCACACTGGAAATTCAAGCACCCAGAAATGTACACAGACCCATTGGTGGGGCTACTGAATTTGAAAGAACTCCCCAAGGGAGATTTTAGGTAGTCATAGTCAATGTTTCCTCCTTTATGCCCCCAAGAGCTCCAGACGATGGTTGAGCATCACCTAGGGCAACAGAAGCAAGGAGAGGAACCTGAGGAAGCTGCTGAGAGCACAGGGACCCAGGAGTCCTGCCCACTTGAGATCCCAGACACAGGCTCAGCGTCAAGGTCGGGTACTCCTGGGATAGCACAAAGTATGTACAAGCCTGGGAGGTGTGTTCCCCAGCCAGCTTTACCCACTGAGGGAAGGGGAGGAGTCACAGCCTGGGAGAGATGGAATAGCAGGCCTAAGGCTCAGTCAAGGACATGATGTATTCCATACATCACGTTTGAATCACTTTGTCTTACTGTAAGCTACCACCTTGGACCACAGATATCTTCATGTGGCTGGGAAATGAGGAAACTCCACCAGGTTGAAAACAGTATTTGGCCCTTCCCCAGAGCCAGGGCTACAGTTCCACCTCCACGACTGGCCAGTTCACCGGCAGAGCTGGTGTCTGTTTCACTGGGGTTGCCTTGGAGTCTTCCAGTGAGTCTGGTTCAGCACGGGAACGCAGAGCTGATGGTGTTAATCCACAGCCACGGTTCCAGTTTGTTCCAGAATTCTTACCATTTCCAGCTATGTGAAAGTGACACATACTGTCTGTTCTGTGTGTCATGTAACACACCTACCTGGCAGAGCATCCTGCAATCAAACACATGATTTTTTTCTGCAGTCCAGTGAATGGTTACACTGAGTGGGATCAAAGCAATTCATGTCAGGCTTAGCCTCACCTGAGTTTATGCTCTAATTTTAGTTTTAACTTTTTAGAGGGTTTGGTGGTTTTGTTTTTACTTTTCAATCCCTGGCTACGGGGGGGGGGGGGGGGGGGTAGTGAGCTATCATAGTAACTGACCAACTGACCAGAGGCAGTTAGATCTACCCTACCAATGGCAGGGTAGATCTGTACCCAGTGGGTCTTGGGGGCCCCTTCTCAGCAGCTGCAGCCCCTGTATAAGGACTGGTTCTCCCTCCACCACCCACCCACTTTCCCTCCCTAGAGCCTGCAGCATCCACCCCCAAGATTCAGGAGCAGTGTGGTGTGCAGCCCAGCACAAAGGACCCCTTGCCACCAGCGGATTCCCAGGGAGCCAGCTTGGTAAGCCCCATGGGCTGGGCTTTGGGCCAGCAGAAGAGCAGGCTGTAGGGCCTAGAGTTTAGAGCCAGAAGTGTAGACAAAAGAGCAGCGTCAATCAGTCACTGAAAATTTAACCTTTGTGGTACGAGCCCAAATATCCCTTCTGACAAAGAGAGACGGGATTAAGTGGCTGCAGGGAGGATCGAATGGAAAGTTTGTTATGTATGCCTTCTGGAACAGGTGATGAAAGTAGGCCATGGATTTGATTTTATTTTTTAATAAAGGGCAGGTGGAACCAAAGTATTATGGGCTGAGAGCAGAGATGCTTCCCAAACCCTGACTAGAAGAGAGGGCTCAGATGAGATTAACAGCAGCAGCTGCCTCTGAAGGTAGCCAGTTGGGCTGACCAGAGGGAAGGATGACCCCATGGCCCGTCGGTCACCTTCCCTTTCCTCCCCTGCAACAGGTCTGAAAGGAGTTGGCATCCCGGAATCGCCACTGCGGTGTGGAAACTCATGGACACTGGATGTTCCTTAATCTCTTGTTTTTAAAAGTGATAAATTTGGTGTTAGGTCGTTGGTGCTCTTTTTTCCAGCCTGGGGATTCCTTCCTTCCTTAGCTCTTGTCTGCACTCCACAGCCCCCGCTCTCAGGACTAACTAGGGGAGGAAATAGGAAAACTGACAGAAGCCTAGATTTTATGTTCATAAAGAGAAATGGGAGTCTGGAAGTCAAAGAGCACCTCAGTGCTTTCTTTCCTTACTGAGGAAAGCTCTGCCCACACAGAAGGGTTGCACTCTGGGAGACTGCAGGTCTGAAACAGAAGCCCTGACAAGCTGGGCGCCCTGCGCTGTGTCTCCCTCTGCTGGACATAAGTAGGAAGTGCACCTTGTCTCTAGACCCTGAGAAGAAAGTATTTGGAATTATCTGGCCTCCATCCAATTCTGTGGCCACTATTCCTTATTCCAACCTGATAGGAAAGACTGTCTGAGAACTCAAGTGTCTAGAAACCCAATGGGCCACCTCTTGTCCTTCATCCTGAGGCCAGGGTAAGACTAATACCGTGCACAGGTGGAGAAATGGCTTCTGATCCCAGTCAGGCTTCTCATGATGCTGATTCTGCTTTTCCCAAAAAAATTAAAGAGAGAAAGGAAGAAGGCAAGATTCTTTCACCCTCTTTGCTGCATCAGTGTGCCACAGCCTGGGTGGTGCCGCAGATAGCCTTCCCCTGGGCCTCTCTCCATTCTCAAGGAGTTCTAACTCAGAAGATGACACGTGAGAGAACTTTTGCCTTGTGGACACCACACACATCCAGCCGGTCTCCCTTCTTTATTGATCTCTGGCTATATCAGGGGCCTGGGAGACCAAAAGCATGGGGAGTCACATGCGGTTCAGAGTGGCAAGTCTAACCACCATGGAGATGGACTTCACGAGAACAGGGCCCACTGTACAGATGCATGGCTGGTATTTACAAGAAAGGAGGAGGCAGCCACCTGGACTCGGCCTTTTCTTGGATGGATGAGGTGGGGCAAGGAGCCTGAGGAAGGAAGAGGCTCTGCCTGGCCTCACTTGCTCTGTGTGCCCCAGGCAGCAACAGCCCTGCGCCCTTCCCCTTCTGCCTTCCACCCTGAGGGGCCCAGGGAGGGGAATCTCTTCGTAGGCCAGTTCTGGGAGAAGGAAGGACCCACTCTGACCACATGGATTGCTGGGTTATACCTTACCCCACTTGCACCAGGGCCAGCTGTCCCCTCCTTCCTTTGTTCATATACACTGAAGGAAGATCTCAAAGCATTTACAGACATTGGTCGGATGAGAGCCTCTTAGTCCCCGGGGACAGAAAGGAGGCAAAGGGCCAGAGACCCAGGTAGGGCAGGTGACAAGCTTCTCAAGCCCAGGCCAGCCCCAAGGTCTTGAGGACCCCGGATAGTCTTCCCGCAGGCACAATCCCAAGGCTCCTGTCCTCTCCCAGCCACTTCCTGGGCAGAGGAGAGAGGGAGTTTGCAAAGGAGCAGTGCTAGAGCAGCACACTTCTGGGGTCAAGAGGCTGTCCCCCACCTCATCCTGCCCTTCCCATGCAGGCCCTTGAAAACTGCCAGCTTCCCTGGGAAACGGAAACCCAGACCTGCCAGCTAAGATCTGGGGTGGGGGCTGTGGGAACCCCCAAAATGTATTGCTTAGAAACTTGGAGGCAAGAAGGATGGGGAGGGCCAAGGGGGCTGGCATCTGACCCTCCCCTCCAGGCCATAGGAAGCCTGTAGGAAGCTCACCCCTCCCAAGTAGCCACCTACCCAGGAAGGGAGTCCAGAGGCAAGGGGTGGGCACAGTGACCATTGGGGGCCTGTGGTTCCCCAAGCTTGTGTCCCAGTGGGTATTGGGTGGGGAGGGGACCTTCCCCCACCCTACCAGCTCCAGCATTGGGCTTTCAGGTGAGCTATCTCTCCCATGACCAACACACTCCCTTGGAGCAGATAGGAGAACCAATCGGATGGATAGTGCTAATGACATCGAAGACTTTGGACTCGGTGAGGACCTGTCAAAAGAAGGAGACACTTCAGTGTTCTGCTCTTGAACTTTATCTCTTAACCTGATCTTCCTTCTCCAAATCCCACCCAGTCCTCCCTTCGTCCTCAGAACAGCTAGCGGCCAATGCCCATCAGATGCATGGCAGCCAATGGTACGAGCTGGGCCGAACCTTGTACCTAGACTGCTGCCTGCTCCATAGTCTCACAGCCCGGCACATGTGCCATCCTGTCTGCTGCTCTGTCCTTTCTTCCTTCATGAAAGAATATGGGGCCAAAGAAGGTGACAGGAGTCCCTTGCTCCCCACCCGTGCCTTGGCTCTGTCCTGTGCCTCCAATTCTTCTCTCCTGCTGAGCGGAGCCCAGAGAGCCACCTGAAGCCACGCTGGCTTAGCTACCCTCCTGCCTCCTAGCTCACCTGGCCAGCCCCCAGCTCTCTAATCCAGATTCCCGTTCTGGTTGTGCTCATCTTCGGCAGGGGAGGGTGGGGCCTCTTCCTCACAGGGGGATAGTTCGTCAATGGACATCTGGTTGGTGATGCCTGCAGAGGGTCCAAGGAAGCTGACGTTAGGCCAAGAAATAGTTTCTCCAGAACCAAGGTGCACGTAAAGAAAAGAAGAGGCCTAGCTCATCTACTACCTCCTCCAATCCCGCACACATAAAAACTCACAGCCCCTGCTCACAGTACAGCAGGAACCACCAAGTAACTCAGATCTCCAGGGGCACCATTTGCAGACAGCCATGGCACACGCAGAGGGTCCCAGAACTCAGAACACTGTGGCTGTCCCTGTCATCTCTCCAGCTTCCATTCTAGAACAGCCCAAACCACCCAACCCGTCAGCCTTCGTGTGGCCTCTTATTTTAGTCTGACTGGCTCCATTCCCAACTCGAGGAGTCAAAGAGCTGCCTGAGGCTTAACGCAAAGGGGCTGCGGTTGCTCCACCAGCCCTAGCATGTTCACACACATGCACACATAACACCCACCACTTGCTGCCCGTTCCTTCCACTTCTGTTTGTTCTCCTGAATGTGCTTCGTCCAGGTGGAGCGGAAACTGACCACATCAGGATTGGGGTCTCCTACGTCTACATCCAAAGAAGGCTGGCGCCACTGGAAGCTAGAAACAAGACCCATTCAAACGCCCAGTTCCAGAAGTGAGACCCAGCCCTCTTCAGAATCCGATTCTTAGCCCTCAGCATGGAGAAGATGGAAGACCAGAAAGACCGGAGTCCTTTTCCCTCTTCTAGATACCCTCAAATCCTTGTCTGTTTTCCCATAATTGTAGCCCTCCCTCTCCACACTCAATCTCCTGGTAGATTATCTGAAAGACAGTTTAGACCCTTAAGGAAAAAACAATGTAGGGAGCCTAGGTGAGAGCTAGGCTCAGTCTTCTGTGACAAGAGAGGGGCTCTCAAACCTGAAGCATCCTGCCTCCCTCACCTCCTGCCTACCCTCCCTCCCTCCCATCTAGGCTGAAAGAATCACATCTGTGCAGCCAATGGACCAGGACATGGTTACCCCAGCCACAGTCACCTAGGCTGACTTTTAGACTTGGAATCATCATCTGCCAAGGGCTGGACACTCTTCTCTGCCACATCGGTCAGCACAGAGAAGGTGGGCTCCACAATGAAGTCGATGAAACCTGCAGGAAGGGAGCAAGCAGCACAAGTGCTATACTCAGGGGACAAGGCAGACACAGGACAGCCTGCTTGTGAGGCTGCAAGTGACCTGGAGTGAACTCCCCCGCTGGGACAACCTGGGGACAACATCTATGTGAGCCCAGAGAGACCCTTCTAATGCAGCTCAACAAGGACAGTTTAGGGACCTGGAGGTGTGAGACAAGCCTGGCCAAGCCCAGACAGCCCCTTTCCTTGTCCCCCTGGACTCACCTATCTGGGACTGGGCCACCAATGTGGAGGTGCGATCACAGAGTGGAGAGAAGGGCAGCCCCAGCTCTGCTTCCTTGTCACCCTGGGAAGAGAAGATGCCTCAGAGTTGGGAGGGCTGGGGAGATAAATGGCTGCAATGGGAGAAGGGGATGCTGCTACCCCTTTGACCTGGAAATGAGGGGTGAGTGGAGATAACCGGTGTCCAGCTCTGTGGGTAGAGACGACCCCACAGGCTTGGGATCAGTTCAGGAGTGAAAGGTAGCCGGGTGGAGCTCTGGAGTAGGTGTGGGAAGCTCGCAGATCAGGGATAGGAAAGCTCCATTGACAGGGTTACCTGGCGGAAGAATTCTTCCATTAGGGCCTTGGTCCAGCGGCTATGGACTGACCACTGCTTGGTTGGATGGCTGATGTCAGCAGCATGAAGCAGAAGAGATAGGGCCTTGGACTTGTCAATCCTGATTAAGGCAGGTATTAAAAAAAGGGAAACTGATCTTCTAGGAAAAGGAGACCTTGGCCAGTCTCCAACTTCCAGTCACACAAACACTCCTTTTTCACATAACTCTAAGCAGTCTACACACAAGCAAACTCATCTGTATGTACAGACATAGAAGCACAGATCAGTAGCTGAGAACCCAGGCTCTTAGCATCAATTGGCATGAATGTAACTCCCCCTCATCTCTACCACCCACGATTGTGAGACACTAAGCAAGTTACTGAAAAATCCATAATTCATTTTCTTCAAACCAGAAGTGAAAATAACAAGCCTGTCACATATTGAGTTGTTCTGAGAATTAAATGACTTACAACAAGTATTTCTGACACATAATATGCACCAAGGATGTTATGTACAATGGCCATCATCATGATTCTTGCCATTAACCCCCCAACAACTGCCCACAGTGACCCCACAATCCCCATTCAGACACTACACACAGGTCAACACACACCTCCAGGACACTGAGCCCATTCTCTCTTACCCACACTTATACATTCCCAGTCACTTCTTTTTTTTTTTTAAATTTTAAATCATTTTTCTTTTTTTCATAAACAACTTTCCTCATGACACATTATTTAAAAAAAAACACATCCCTTGTAATTGAGGTTAAAAGATAAACAAAATGCAGCTCCCACCTCCTTATTCCCAATTCTTCCCATTCCCTCCAAATAAAAGGGAAAAATATAAGCAAAAATAAAACAAGAACACCTGATAAACAACAACAACAACAAAAACCACAGTGCAAAACTTCCCAAAACAAAGTGGTGTATTTCCCCGGGGTAAGTGGAATTCACACTGAATCCACTGGGAGTGAGTGCTTCCCGCTACAAAAACCTGCAAAGAAAGACACTCAAGACAGAAAAATTAACAAAAAGGCACCAAAAAAATGCAGCAGACAAACTGGAGAGGCAGGAGCCCCGAGGAAAGAAGGGTAGCGTGTGTCTAGACCTGGTAAATCAGGAGCAGGCCGGGACTCCAAAAAGCAGAGAGAAGATGAAGGAAGGAAACAAGCTGAACAGATTGGTGCCCTCCAGAGCTCTAGGTAAAAAAAAAAAAAAAAAAAAAAAAGGCCTCCTACCATCCGTGCCCACCTACCCTTGTCCCAGTCACTTCTAAACAGCGTTAGAATTATAACATTTGTTCTGTCTTCATCTTTGTTCTTTTTTAACCTCCCACAACTCTCCCAGTGGCCTTCTAAAATAGGAGTAAGTGTGAGGGGAGGTACTTCATGGTCATCATTTCAGATAAGGACAAGGGTCTAGAAAAATCCAAATATATTTCCCAACATTCCTGAGTAATCCTGCCCTGCAGCTACAATAAAAATTCCTATCCACACCAGGGCAGTGAGGAGGCAGAGGCAGGTGGATCTCTGTGAGTTCGAGGCCAGCCTGGTCTATAAGAGCTAGTTCCAGGACAGGCTCCAAAGCAACACAGAGAAACCCTGTCTTGAAAAACCTATCCAGGCTCCTGGCCAATGCTCATCAGACCTGTTAGACAAATTCAAAGCCATGTTCACAAACACCACACACAGCCACGTACACTCAGATGAGTACCTGGAACACCAACTGCTCAGTGTACACACTAATTCACAAGACCCTCCCTCTGGCCTGGCCCTGCCTACACCCCTCCACGTGCTACCTTTCCAGCTGCTGCAGAGCTGTCTTCATGGACTTCACTTGCTGGAAATGGCAAGACATGTCTGTGGCCAACACCATCTCAATAACCAAGGCCCGAAGTTCTCTAAGTGGACAGACAGAGAAGAGATCGGTCCTCTCAGCACTGGCAGGACTAAAGGATATGGGGAAAAGAAGGCTGGGATAGGGTTTCAGGGATGCCACATGCTGTCCTGTGCTCACACAAACTCGTCCTTGGTAAGATTGATAAAAATATTCATCTCATCGTCCTGCATCATTCGGAAAACAGAGCTGATGTGGTGGTTCTCCAGCACCGAGCGGTCGTTGTACAGGATGGCACATTCAGACCTGTGGAGCCATATGTCACGCCCAGGCCCCTGTAAAGGGTTCCGCCGGCAACCTTGGCCCTCTGCCCCCACCATGCCCTACTGCTCACTTGGTCTGGATGTGGAAGCTGTTGGTTGTGCCTGTGTGCTCATAGTCATGGATGGCTGCAGCAAAGATGATGGCCAAGACCTCAATCTCTGACAGGCAGTGCTGGGGGCCAGGAAGAAGAGAAACTTGGGCTAGCCCTCTGCCAGTCACTGCCCAGACACCCTCACAGCTACAACATTCCATCCATCATCAGAGCTAGCCATGTGTTTCAACTCTCCTCTGTCCCCATCAGTCATATACCCACTATAGCACATCATGTATCCCCAACAGTGCCCAAGAAATATTGGTACACCTGAGGATTCTCTGGATGAAGTTAATGCATTTGACTCTGCAGGTGTTGGCACCCCATGGAAGCAGGCACCCCATGGTAGCAGGAACCCCGAGGAAAAGGACACTAAGAGAGCAGCCAAGGCTTCCTAGTTCTGGATCCACAGGACCTGGACAGCATGACCAGGCACCTACCACCATGCCTGTGCGGAGCAGGAAGCAATGGACTGTCTGAGTCACATCGGCTGCATGGATCTGGTTGTGGTAAGGGTTCTTGTATTTCCCATAACCTGTCTCCAAGGCCTCCAGAAAACTCATCAGGAACACAGTGGGAATCTGCAGGAGAAGGAAGAACGGAGATACCAAGGATCTACAAGAGTGAAGAGACAGGCAATGGCAGCATTCTGTACATGGCAGTCAGGTGGAATGATGCTCACCTGTAACCCCAGCACTCGGCTAAGGCAGAAAAGTCTCAACCCCACTTACCCACCTACCCTGCCCAAAAACAATTGGGTATGGCCCAGAGAACTAACACAGGCTCTGATCATAGAGATGGGCTCAGATTCAGGCTCTACCACCTGCAGCCTGTGTGACCTTGGGTAATCCCTATGCCTCCCTGTGCCTTCCTAATTGCAAAATAAAGATAATACCACCTACCTGGGATTTAATGAGAAAAGTACAAGGCATTTAGTAAGTACTCTCTGAAGAGTATCTATAATTATTATTATTTCCCTGGAGATTTCTAAGAAAATGAAAGAAAGCCTCCCTCCTACCTTCCAACCACCTGCACCATCCCCAAAGCCACAGAGAAGGCTCAGAGCAAAGGGAGGTAAGAGGAGCTGCAGGGACCCTTGCCGCAGATGTGGAGCGCCTGCTCTGAGAAGCCATCCCTGACCACCCCCACTCCACATACGCCAATGAGCAGCCCACCAGGCCCACAGTATCTACAGATATGCGCACACACCCAGGACAGAGCCACTCTCAATTCTGTCCCTGACTACAGATGCCCTTGGGTATCTTTGCCTCCTTCAAGAGACTCAAGGCTCCCAGAGGTCAAGGCTAGTATCTTCACCTGAGGCCAGGAAGGGATCCAGGGCTCAGGACTTGGAAGGCTTCTGCAGAGTGACAGTAGAGAAGACATGCCCCTTGTCAGACCCTAGCTTCCCCCGTCTCTACCCCTGGAGGGCTGTGCCCCAAATTCAGGAAATTTTAAAGGACTGTTTCCATGACAACTACTCTTGCTTTTGCGTTGCCATGGTGTCCCTAGAGGGAAGGGAAAAGAAAGGAGGGAACAGGGAGGGAAAAGACCAGGGAGCTTGGGAAGGAAGCCTGACCAGGACCCAGTGGACATCCCTTTCTCTAACTGTTGTGAAGCAGTCAAGCAGGCTAACTAAAGCCAACCCAGGGCAGATGCGCTTGGGACTCCCAAACCTCATCCATCCACATAGGTAAGGAGCTTGCAGAAGCTGATGTCTGAAGTACATCTAAAAATGACAGAGTGAACAGGAGCTGGGAAAGGCACCCTGCTATTCTTGGCCTAAGGAGGGGTCTGGAGGGGGCAAGGAAAGTTCAGGAGGTAAGGCCTCAAGAAGGTCAGGAGGGGAACCCTGTTGAGCAGTTCAGGACTGATGTGACAGTTCTTAAGAGGTGTCAGAGAGGAAGAGTGAAGGAACAGGGAAGGCTGCACGGACAGTATCCCCGTGAAGTAAGACAGGCCCACTAGGATACCCCCCACACACCTTTACCACTCAGCCCAGGCCGCTCCAGGCTACTTCACCTTCAATATCTACTAGTCACCCCAGGTGAGCCTCACATCAACCCCTCACACACTCCTCTTCCAGAGGTGGCTTCCCTCCAGATGAAGGAGCTTCTATCCAGATCATCTTCCTCTGCCAAGCACACAGCCCTTCCAAACCCTTCCCAGAGCTTTTCACACTGGCCCGCCCCTCCCCAAGAGAACAAATGAGAGACTCTAATCCCAAAGGATGACAGTACTGGGCTCTAGATCTCCAGGGTCCACAGACAAGAGCAGAAGGGAGGCAATTGGCAGTCAGCCCAGAGGGGACAGACTGGAGGAAAAGGGCATGAGCAGTGTCCCAAGCTAAATGCTTGCAGGCCTAGAAGCATTCACTCCGCGAGTGAAGGAAGAGTCTGGATTGCCTCAGTAGAAGCAAGACAGGGATGAGCAGGGCTGTCACCCCTGACACTGGGACAGGACGAGGGAGCTTGGAGTCTGCTCATTGGGAATCTCTCTGCCAGCACAGAGAGGAGTGGAGAGAGCCAGCCTACAGGGTGCTGCCCAACCTTGAAGCGGCTGATGAGGCTATGCCGAGTCAGCAACTCAAAAACAATGGTCCTCAGCGCGTGGTCATCTGCTGCCCGGTTCAAGGAAAAGACATCAAAGCACCAGAGGTCCAGGTTCTGCGGAAAAACAATACACTAAGCGGGAAAGCCCCCTCCAGAGCTCCCCTGCCACAGGGAGACCTCTAGGCACACTTCCCAACAACTCGAGAAAGCAAAGGTGGGTGCATGCGTTTCTTTTTTCCCAGATATCTCTCAGTATCAGGGAGACAAGAAGACAAGGGTTTGTCTCTGGGTGGGCAAAAACTGTTCAAAAGAACATGAAAATACTAGTTAAAAGGGAAGTAAAAAATCACAGCACAAACAGAATCTGGAAGTCCCAATGGCTATATCAACTCCAACCCTCTCTTCTTTCCCAAAAAACCCAGGGGTCACCTTGAGACAGTTGTGGACTGCAGTAGAATATGTGGGGCCCACAGCAGTATATGTTCTCCGGAACATCCTAAAAAAGACCATAGAGGATAAATCAAGTATCTGGCCCGGGGAACAGAGCCTTAGCCAACTGGGGCTGTGGAGATAGGTCTCGGGGTGAGTGGGGTCATGAGAGATCAGGCTGGCTGGGACAGAGGGCACGACAGAGATGGGGAAAGCCGAGTACTGGCAAACCTCACCGCTCCACGAAGATCCCGGCCTGCACAGCATGCACGATGCTTCGGAACTTGGGCTTCTCTTCTGCCCTGCGACCTTTGGCTCGGGTCTGCTGGGTGAAGGTGGAGGCCAGCCAGTCCCGCACCTCTGAAGGCACAGCATCTGACCGAAGTTCCCGAAGCTCATCCTCAGTATCCAGAATTTGCCTGGGACCAGGGGAACATTACAGAGGAAAGAAAGCAAGTGTTTCCATACTAGTGACCCAATAGCTGCCGTACCCATTTGTGACTTCCCCCCAGTCCTCACATTCCCTTCCCTTTACTACAGTGCTTTGTGTCTATATTCCTGTGGAACACCTCCAGCAGTGAAAGAGCTCACGGTGGAAAGCAGTGAAGTCACTATGGACATGTTTTAGCAGACAATGAAACACCACGTTCCAGGGATGCTACAGGGCACCACAGTCCATCAGAAATAAACTGCAAGGTTCACATACGAAATTAAATTTTTTCTGGTATGGTAGAAGCAGGAAGACCAGAGTTCAAGGTCAATCTTAGCTAGACAGCAAGTTCAAGGCCAACCTGGACTAAATGAGGCCTTGGCTCAAATAAACAAAATAACAACAAAAAAGAAATTTTCACTATTCTAGTAGTTACATTAAGCTGGTAAGGGGCTTGGTAGATGGTTGAATAGTTGAGAACACCTGCTATTCTTGCAGAGAACCAGGCTTCAGTTCCCAGAACCCACATCAAGCAGTTCCAGAAGATCCCACACACTCTCTGGCCTCCGTGTTGGCAGAGGCATGCATGTAGTACACATAAATACACACATACATACACACATGCACATACAAGTAAAATTAACATAAATAAATCTTTTTCAAATAAAAAAAATGTTTTAAAGACTGGTATATTTAATAAAAAATTTTATTTATGCTAATTCCTCCAAAATATTTTTCAAAATAAATAAACATATAATGAGGGAATGATGTGGGGAGGAGGCCTGTCTGTAGGAGCCAGGATGTAATTTACAGACACTTTTCAACTCATGCCTGCACACTACAAGTTCAGAGTCATCCCTCCTGGCCAACACAAGTCTAGAGATGTATTCCATGTAGGTTTGAACCAGATGGTTTCTAAGGTCCCTGGCATCCCTGAAGCCACCACTGTTCCTCCAGTACTGGAGATCAGGCCAGAGTGCCAGGAAAGTGAGGCGAGCACCCCACCACTGAGCTCCACCTCAGCCTCTTATCTCTGCCCCACCCCGTCTTTGTCTTAATCTGTCTGTCCCTGTCACTCCACCCTCCCCAGCATTCCTCTCTGGAGTCTGCCTATCTGACATCTGCAGGCCTCTCTCACCGTGTCTCGTCGATGTAGACAGCCTCCAGCAGGGAAGCTGTGTATTCCAAGTTTTTCTTCAGCTCCTCGATGTTAACCTCCCCATTCTCCAACTGCTTCACCATGAAGCGCAGCCTGCAGGGTATGAGTGCAGATATCCTATTCAGACACTATAGCCCAGTCAGGGGTTCCTCAATAGGGGGCTCTTTGCAGAAACACTTTCAGTCTCCGAGCTGTTAATAATTCTAACACTAATGATAACAGCAGCCAGTGTTTTTCATGCCAGGCTATGGCTTCTGCCTGTGGTAAGTTTATCTACTGCCCCTACAGTGTTAGCCTAGACAGGTAGCAGCCCCAGGAGTGATGTTTCTGGAGATGATTTGTTTCACAGTCTCAATATTTCCCCATGAGAGAAGGCTTTGGGATCAACACCAATCAAAACAGTCCCCAGGATCCTTTCATTGTCTTGGTCAAGAACCGAAAGGCTAAGCACATCCACAGTCCCTCCATTCTGGCAAGGGCAGCAAAGGCACAGAACAAAGACCAATCTGAATGCTTTTGCCTGGCCTCACTCCACGCAGGCAGAGCTAATGGATTATGATTCCAGAATCCATCAACCAGGACAAAGCAAGTTAACCCCTGGCTGCCCAGGCTCACGCCACAGATAACCTCTAGCAGAGTCACTGCGCCCATGTCCTGTCTCTGGCTCTGGGGTGAAACCAGGCTCTCACCCTTTTGATGCCTTCCCAAGGGGACAGATCTTTCATCCTTTGCAGCTTTGGATTCTGGGGGTGGGGGTCACTGACTAACTGAGAGGTTTCTTGGAAGTCTAGCAAGAGCAGCTCTGCATTCCAAATGAAACTCTCTGGCTCTAGACAGTGATTTTGAAGACAGCAACTCCCCATTCTCCCAAGAACTCAGCACTCTCCCAACACCCCTCCCCCATCACACACAGGCTCCCCCATCACACACAGGCTCTCCTGTTCAGGTGGGAACACCTGCTTCCCCCACACATCACACACAGGCTCCCCCATCACACACAGGCTCCCCCATCACACACAGGCTCCCCCATCACACACAGGCTCCCCCCATTACACACAGACTCTCCTGTTCAGGTGGGGTGAGAACACCCCCACTACTCCCCACATACACATCACACACAGGCTCCCCCATTACACACAGACTCTCCTGTTCAGGTGGGGTGAGAACACCCCCACTACTCCCCACACACACATCACACACAGGCTCCCCCCATCACACACAGACTCTCCTGTTCAGGTGGGGTGAGAACACCGTTCCCCCCACACACACACATCACACACAGGCTCCCCCCATCACACACAGGCTCTCCTGTTCATGTGAGGTGAGAACACCCCCACTACCCCACCCCCTGCATCACACACAGGCTCCCCCCATCACACACAGGCTCTCCTGTTCAGCTCCCACCCACATCACACACAGGCTCCCCCCATCACACACAGGCTCTCCTGTTTAGGTGGAGTGAGCCGGTAGCTAGAACAAACATCCCACTGAGAGGGGCTTCAGAAACCCAAGGTCACCCTGTGAGTTGGGGAGGAGAAGAGAATGAGTCAGGGACCAGAGGCTGAAATTAGCAACAATTCCCAGGGATGCCGGGGAGGGTAAACAATGGCATTCCTGAACAGAATCAGCTCTAGAATCCCGGGGTCTCAGCAGCTTTGAAATAGGGATACTGAAAATAGCCCCAGGAAGTATCCCTGGCCAAGTCTCATCTCAGAGCCCAGCAGTCCTGACCCACACTTGTCTGAGAGTAAATGGGACAGAAGTGAAAGGGACCAGTCTAGGAGTGGGGAGCTAGAGGGAGCAGCCCTGTGTCTCTGGAGTGGGCTCTTGCCTACCTCATCACCCAGGACCACTGGTTCCATGTGGAAACAGTTGTCAGACAAAGACAAAGAGGGTGGATTTAGGAAAGCTAAGCCCACTCCGCTTCACAAGGGAAGATGAACAGAAAGGGACTAGATATCTTGGGAGGATTTCCCAGCCAAATAAGCAAGAAAAAGCCACCAGCCAGGATCTGCCAGGATATCACAGAACAAAAAGGTACACTGCCTTTTAGCACAGACAGGGCTTTCCTCTCTGTTCAGTCCCTACTACCCAGGGCTTTGGAATGGCACACACATAAAACAGAAGGGAAGATCTCTCCTACTGCCTGTGGCTCACCTCTCCTCCTATTCCCACCCTTACCCTCATCTGCTACTTCACTCAGGCCCCTTTCAACCAAAAACAGTGTCCCCAGCAATCAAAGCCCACCACAGTCTTTCCCAACCAACCCAGAGGAAAACAAATGAACAGCCACAACCATGGCATCTTATTTGCATATATTTGCATAATGCTAACAATGCAGCCTAGAAAGGATTGCAAACTACATTTCCAGTGCACAAGCCCAACTCCTTGGAATGGTTTACCACACTGTATATTGAGGCTGGAAACCAAGTTCAAAGTTCACATCCTACATTGCGCCCTTGGGCAAGTGACTAAGTGTGTGTGTGTGTGTGTGTGTGTGTGTGTGTGTGTGTGCCTGCATGTGATGCTAGGAATCGAACTAGGGTCCTTTCCAAGAGCAACAAGTGCTCTTAACCACTGAGTCAACTCTCCAGTCCCTAATTCTTAACCAGCATGCATTAAAATGTGGCCTAGAGGGACTGGGGAGATGGCTTAGTGGTTGAGTGCTTGCTACTCTTCTAAAGAACCCGAGTTCAGTTCCTAGCACCCCTGTTCCTCCTGCTCCAGGTATTCAACACCCTCTGCTGGCCTCCACCAGCACCCACACACATATGGTATACACATGCCATGCACAAAAATAAATACACATGCACATGAAAATAAAATGTTTTTTAAAGCAGTCTAAGCCAGGCAGTAGTAGCACTTGCCTTCAATATCAGCACTCGGGAGGCAAAGACAGGTGGATGTCTGAGTTCAAGTCAAGCCTGGTCTAAAGAGTGAGCTCCAGGACAGACATGGCTACACAGAGAAACCCTGTCTCAACCCCACTCCCTCCAAAATAAATATAAAAGTGATCTGGAGACAGCAGATACCAGCATCACCTTGGGTCAAAATGTAGACTCCAAAGTTCACTGCATGTTTGTGGAACCAGAGGAAGGCATGCATTTTTTAAATGTATTACTCGTGTGTGTGTGTGTGTGTGTGTGTGTGTGTGCGCGCGCGCGCGCGCGCGCACGCAGGTGTGCTCTGGCACATGTGTAGACCTTCACATGAATCCTGAGGACTGAACTCAGGTCCTCAGGCTCACTCTAACGCTCTTTACTGCCTGAGTCATTTTCCTGGCCCAGAGACAGGAGTTTTTAATAAACACCCTAAGTGATTCTTAAACACTCTACTCTAGAGCTTCAATCTCAACTGAAAAGTGCTGAGGCAGTCTCACAACAATATTAAGAGAAATAAAGGAAATAAAATGTGCAACAAGCCTGGCGCAGGCAAGGGGTCCCCATAAATACAGCCTGGATGGGAATTATGTGCAGGCACAGGGGTTCCCACTCTGCCCCAACAGCACTACTTCAAACCCAGCAAGCACCTGCCTGCTCAGCCCCAGCCTAGGAGAAGAAATCCAGCTTAGATGGAGGAGCTGACAGAAAACACTAGTGACTGGAGTTGTCTCCACAACTGAAAACCTCATTCGCTCTCACAAGCATTTTAGGAAAGAAGGAAATGCCTTTTGCCCAAGGTCAAAAGACTTGTCAGTCTCAGGCCAGCAAAGCCCACAATGCACACTAAAGTTAAGGGGACCTATGTCCCTACACTTTGATGGTGTTAGGGCAGCACAAGTCTGACAGTGCATGGGGCACTGCACCAGAGTCCCAGTCAGGTCCACCTTAAGTGTTCTGGACCTGTCAGTGAACTCACAGGACATGGCAATTATCAGTGTGACCTCAACTGTGCCTGGTTTACCTTGGTCTCCATACTCAGAGCACACACTATGTGCTCAATAAAAGTCCATCATCTAAGGGCAGTGGTGGTGCATGCCTTTCATCCCAGCTCTCAGGAGCCAGAGGCAGGCAATCTCTGAGTTCCAGGACAGCCTGGTCTACACAGTGAGTTCCACAACAGCCAGGGATACACAGAGAAACCGTCTCTCCAGAAAAAAGAAAAGACAAAAAAAAAAAAAAAAAAAAAAAAGGTCATTGACGAGAGTTGTAGAAAACTAACCAGACGGAAGGCCACCTGCCAGAGCCTACAGGATGGCACTTCCCAGACAGGCTTCGGGAAGCTTCATGGTGAGCCCTGGGACAGGAGTGAAACTGTAGGAAGTCCCACCTTCTCTGGCTGCGGTAGTACCCAGGAATATGCAAAGCTCCTATGGAAGTCTGAACGAAACATGATCCAGGCACCAGAAAGAGGCAGGGAGGGGAAAGATTAAAGAGTAAATTTGACAAAACAAGGAATCCAAGTAGAGGAGCTGGACTCAGGCAGCTGAGAGGATCCAGATGCTTAACTGCCCCTCCTAGAGTCAAATACACATGTGCGCGCACACACACACACACTCAAAGTCCTTCTGAGCGAAGACCCCCCCACCAAGCCTCACTGACTACAGAGAGTTCTTCTCTCTACCCACATCACTAGTCCAGCCTGTGTTTCAGACCTCAGAGAACTGGCCCATGAAAAGCCCCTCTCTGGAGAATAAGACACGCCTCCAGGAAAACTGAAGTTTCCCAGAATTCCTTCTACCCCTTCATACCCATTTCCCCATCATAGTACCCTCTGATCTTGACCCTCAGTAAGTCCCAGTATCCCCTGGCTTTGGTTGGAGAAGACTCTGGAAACAATAACCCTCACACAAAGACCCCAGCCCATTCCTATGGGTCACAACGTGACTGGCAATCTGAGGATTTCCAAAGTTGCCTGTCACTACTTCCAGTACCAAGATGCCACAAAGATCTTTGTAGGTAGGGGGCTTAGAAAAAGACTGCTTCAACCCAGGTGGCTGATAAGAAGACAAAGAAAGGGCTGGAGTAGAGTAAAGAGCTCAGTGGTAAAGGACCAGTGTCCTCTCCAGGCCTGGTATGCCCCTGCATCCCACCTGCAATCTAAGCACTTGGGAACAGAAACAGGAAGAAAGTTGTCGTGAGCTCAAGGCCAGTCTGGGCTACAGAGTGGGGGAGGGGGGCCACAGGACAGGATGGGACAGAGAGAGAGAGAGAGAGAGAGAGAGAGAGAGAGAGAGAGAGAGAGATGGGGGCTGTGGGGATGCAGGCACGTGAGGTCTTAAGGGTCCCAGGGATCAGGAGGGAGAGAGAGGAAACCCCTTGAAGACACCTGTCATAGAAGTAATAACAACAAAGAGTGGAAGCAGGAGCTTTCACAAGCAACCACCCCTCTCCTGCCCCCCTTCTTCTGCCTCCTCTCTTCCTGGCCTCGCCTCTCCTCTCGCACCCCCCTTTTCCTTCCCCTCTCCTGGCCTCCCCTCTCCTCTTGCCCCCCTTTCTCCTTCCTGGTCCCTCTCCTCCTGACCCCCCTTCTTGGTCCCTCTTCTCCTGCCTCCCCCCTCCTCCTGGTCTCCTTTCTCCTGACCCCCTCCTCCTGCTCCCCACTCTCCTAGTTCCCCCCCCACACCCTCTTCTCCTGTCTCCCCTATCCTCCTATCTCCCTCTCACCCCCTCTCCTCCTGCCTCCCCTTTCTTCTGCCTCCTCCCTCCTACTGGTCTCTCTTCTTTCTCTATCTGCCCCCCTCCTCCAGCCTCCCTCTCTTCTCTACCTGCCTCCCATCCCCTGTCTCCCACTCCACTGTCCTCCTGTCCCCTTTCTCCTCTCCCTCTCCCTGGCACTTACCTGAGGATGGGCCCCTGGAGGTGACTCCTCTGGACAGAAACAGGGTTTGCCATGGAAATCAAAGTTCTCTACTTCAAAGTATCAAAAAGCTGACCCCAGGGCCCAAGGGCCCCTACTGGGGAACAACTCCCTCTTGAACCCCCAGAACTTCCTCTTCCAGGTCCCAGAAAAACTGAGCGACAGACCAGAAAGCACTTTTTGACCAGGGAACTGGAAAGGCCTGACTAGGGGGTGATGAGGCAGAAACCTTAACCCACAGGAACTGGGTGAGAGGCCGCGGGAAAAGTTTCACATCTGAATCAGACTGAAAACAAGAATCTGCTGTCAGAAGAGTCCCAGAAAGGCCAGAAATAGCACAGGCCAGCCCCTTGCTCTGAGGAGGTGGGGCTCCTCTTTGGGAAATAGGGATTAGCAAGCAGTGTCCGGAGGAGGCAGGGACAGCGACCATCCTGAATCTGTCATGGAGAGATCTATGGTAGGAGTGGAAGAGGCCCAGCCGGAGTCCAGAGGGGCTAAGCAGATCCAGCTCCTGCAAATCTGGGCTTCTAGGGCCATTCTCCCAGGAGCCTTGGTTCACCTGAGAGAATTCACAAGGAAGGACAAGATGAACTCCCCAGAGAATTAGAAGCAGTTGGGAAGGGGCTTGCAGAAGCTAAAGGCCAGAGAAGGTTCACAGGTAGAGAAGAGCGTCCCACTCCAAAGTGAATGAAAGTTGGGGGAACTTGTTCAAAGAAAGAATAGAGGTGATGGGAGGGGCCTGGCAGTAACAACAAAACATACCTGAAGCTAGCCAAATTACTCCTAGCCCTGATTTTCTCATCTTACATACAGAGATTGGGGAAAACCGTGAATTAGCCAGAGTGAGGTCAACACAGGAGGGGCAAAATGGGGCTCCCGGGAGAGCTTAAGGACCAAGACCCCCTCTTCCATCTCCGTGACTTCCAGGAAAGAGCCTGGCCGCTGCAACCTAGTAGACTGCGTACACCGTCCTAGCAGCTTCCCGATTGGCTACACGATGACATCACAAGTGCTTTGGGATCATGATTGGTCTACTGGAGCTTAGGCGGGGCTAAGGAGGAGGTGGGCGTGCTGAAGCCAAAAGTATCCTCAATTCTAGGGTCTCACAATAGGCGTGGACTGGAGAAAAGGGATCACAGGGTTGAGTATGGCCCAAGAAAGGGAAGGGAAGAGAAAAGAAACAAACCCAGAGCTTTAGTTTTATGACGGGAAGTCTTTCCCCTCCTTCCCTACTGCTCGCTCAGAAGCCAACAAATTAAAACACCGTTACTGTGCCAAGGCCTTAAAGGAGTATAAACAAACGAAGTTTAGGGACCTGCTGTTTCTCAGCGGCTCCGAGCTCTGGGACAAGTGAAAGTAGGCTTGGACTGCGGACAAGTAGTAGAGGGTGGAGACACACGAGTTGCTCTCTAGAGGTCTGGTGGCCTAGCAGAGCTGCTGCGGGGCGAGGGGACCACTCTGCGATCGGCTGACTTCACCATCCCTACGTGGCTTAGCACTTTCAGAAAAAGACAGACCCAGCATCAGGGTCTCAGGCCAGGCCATTTGGCTTGTTTTGCACTCGCTGAATCCAAAGGAGGGGGGGGGGCAGGTGACAGCTTTACTCGGCCCCCAAGAGCAGTATCCTCCAAGCTGTGCTAGCTCCCCTTCCTGCGTGCCCTGTTCTGAGAGGTAGATATTAACTGGAGAGGATATCTCCTCAGCCTGCACGAATGACTGCTCACCCCAGATTCGCGGTGTCACCTATTTGCCCTATGATTATAAACGGATCCTAGTAAAGAGACTTGGGCAACTACAATCCCCTTCCTGGGGAGTGGGATTCATATATTCATCCAGATGTAGAATCCACAAGTCCATCCAGTATCAAATTTCTCTTCAGTTCTTAAATGTGTTATTTTTACCAACATATGTTAATAAGCTAATTTATGCTATTATGTTAACATAAAAAGTTACAGGTTTCATTACGGTACTTCCATATTTTATGTGCCATTTTGCTTTGGATATGTTTGTTTAAGGGTTTTTTGTTATTGTAGTGTTTTTGCTGCTGTTTGAGTTTTTTGAGACTTTATTGTTTGTTTGAGACAAGGTCTATCTCCAGAGGCCTGGAACTGGCCAGGCCGACCTTCAATTCACAGAGATCCGCCTGCCTCTGCCTCTCAAGTGCTGGGATTAAAGGTGTGCGCCACCACACCTGGCTTTATGGTTTGCTCTTGTTCACCCCTCTCCTCCACTGCCCTCTCCCATCCTTCTTGACCACTTTTTCCTGGGTCCTCTTCCCCACAAATCACCTACACTGGCTCGCACGCCTCGTGCACTGCAGTGCTCTCTCTTCCCCTTCCCTCCCTTAAGGTTTCTTCGGTCCTCTTACAATGACCATTTTACTTCCATTAACCCTTAAATTTTGTTTTGTTGTTTGTTTGTTGTTTTTCAAGACAGGGTTTCTCTGTGTTACAGTCCTAGTTATCCTAGACCAGGTTGGCCTCAAACTCACAGAGATCCACCTGCCTCTGCCTCCTGAGTGCTGGGGTTGAAGGCGTGCTGCCAACGCAACCCGGCTAACCCTTAAATGTAGAGGTAGGCAAACCCAAGCTCAGGCTTCCCTGTTGTGCCACACCCAACTTTCTCCACCTTGTACTAAGGACTAACCATTGGCATAGGGGACAAAAGTTGAGTCTGATCAGATAAAATGAGAATGGGAATGGCTCGGGCTGGGGGGAGAAATTATCTTGCTGATCTCAGGGATCCAAAACCTCAAAAACTGGTAGGGAAGCAGCTAAATCTCATTTAAAAATTATGTGAGTACAAACCAGGAGAATTTGCCTTAATTTTCTTACTATGTAGGATCATGGGTAAATCTCTCTAAGTTCTAGTTTCCATGTTTAAATCTGATAAATAGCACGTGCTTCCAAGAAATCTAGTGAGGGCCTGATGAGGTCATTATGAGAAGAGCATTTTGGGAACTATACAGCAGTACATCCATGCAAGAGACTGTAGTTTTTGTCCAATCCTTTAGTAAGTTTTGCAAATATTCATTGAGAGACTTCCATAAACAAAGTCCCAGATGGCCACTAGTACCAGGACTAGTACAGGACTAGTACAGGACTAGTACAGGACTAGTACCAGGACTAGTACAGGACTAGTACAGGACTAGTACCAGGACTAGTACAGGACTAGTACAGGACTAGTACAGGACTAGTACCACAGCCTGCAAATGGAACGTGAGCTACTTGTAGAAAACTCTCGTCTCTTCACATGCTAGGGCTTCTCTCTCCTCTGTAGTCCACAGGGGCTGGAAGACAGCAGAAGCAGAGGCAGGGGCTGTGCAAAACAAGGAGCTGCAGAGCCCAAGAGCAACCAGAACTTTGCCTCACACGGGTTCCCTCACTCCCTGGTTCCCATTGCTGTCTGAGCAGCCCTAGTTCTGACAGCTGGCTGGGTAGAGTGGCGGGGGTGGCTCCAGAGATAAAAATAGACCCCCAACTGGCAGAACTGGGGTGCCATTCTGGAAGATGACAAAACTCAGGTTGGCATAGTAGCTATGGCAGCCATGGGAGATCTCTAGGGTCTGGAAAGAGAAAGGGTTCAGGGAAGGGGCAGAGGTACTGTCAGCACTTTTCCATCCTGGTGGGTTGTGCTGTTAGCCCAAAAGACCAAAGGAAATGAAATAGAAGTGTAGAAGGTCCTGGAAGGCAGAGAGGGAAAGAAACAGATGTGGGAGGTGCCCCAGAAGATGGCCAGAACGACACTGAGCCACGGAGCGAAAGGGTCGACTTCTACCTTGCCTGTATATAAGAGCAGCACCCCAGTCTCCGAACTAAAAACCATTTCTAACAGGTGCTCTTAGCAACAGCCTGGCACAGCTCAGACCGTGCATGGAAAGATGCAATTTAAGCAGCTTAAGACTTAGATCAGACTAATAAGAACTCAGGTGGCCCAGTACCTGGCCCAATACAGCACACAAATGCATCACCTCTCTCTCGGATGTCAGCCCTTGAGAAAGGGAATAACTGGGAGAGGTAGGCAATAACATGCAGTGAAGGTAGATGAGAGAGAAGGTGTCAGGACCCCATCCAGAAGAATGCTTCTCCCACTCACGTATGCATTGACATCTCTCCCCGCACTGTAGAGTTCTGCTTATTCACCACCTCCACAAACCACCCCACTAGTCTGCTAGAACACATCCCAGCAGATGTCCACAGCAGATGCCCCGCTTCAAGGGGACTGACCAGACGCTTAGAGCAGTCTGAGATGGGTAAGAACTGTCAGCTTGGCAAGAGATGACTATAGGTATGTGGGGCAGCAGGCTGGGTCAGCAGGATTGCAGTCTGGCCCCAGTTCCGACCCTACCCTACCAAGGCTTCCCTGTAGCCCTAGGTAGCTCTTGCATCCAGGGCCTAGCACTGCAGGCACTAGGGAAGCAGGGTATCTGGACCTTGTTTCCCAGGTTTTAGAATTCTTTTTTACTGATTGGCTCACTGCTTCCTCCAAATCAGCATTTGCCAGATCTTAAAGGAGGGTAGCTTCCTTTTTTTTTTTTTTTTTTATCAGAAAGGTCACTTTCTAACATCTGTGAATTTCTCAGGAAGTTCTCCTGTATATCTACCCTCAATCCATTCCGCAGCAATCAAAACAATAGCCAACTTTGTTGACATTTCAAAGGCAAGCAGAGATGTGTTATGCATCTTCCAGATTGGAATTCCTAAAGCTCTGGCTTGGTACAGAGATGCTCCAGGCTATGGAACTTGGCAAGTGTGCTCACTCATCCCAGGCTGAAGGGAGTTTCCAAACAAGGTGGACATAGAGGACAGAACTAGGGAGAAGGTGCCAGGCTAGATGCTGGATGGCTGATAAACAAGGAAGCTGAGAATGGAGAAGAAAAGGGGAATTTATGAGGCCCAGATCCTATCAGTCAAAGGTTCCCTAGGCACCCGACCCAGAAGCCCCACTCCTACCCCAGCCTAAATGATGCCAGTACCAGCTGGCAACCTCATGGCCCACTGCAGCTACCGTAATTCCTTGCAAATCTGACTTCTCATTGCAGCTGTACAATCAACTGACCTGAGAGCCCAGCTCAGCCAAGAGCAACCCTGACCCTTCTCTCAGCCCTAGCCCCAGGCATCCCTGAACACATCTTGGCCTTCTTCTCTGCCAAACTCCATCACACCCCCCTCTGGGGATTGATAAGGTCCCCGATGCTGAGGCAGAATCCTAACCTGATGTTTTCTTCCCAAGCAAGAATAAGCACCCCAGATAGGACAGGAGCGGGGGGGGGGGGGTGAGGAGGGGGGAGAGGGAGGCAGGAGAGAAACTAACACACTTGGAGAGTCCTGCACCGAATGCTTAGCAACCACTTCTCTCTTGTTCATCCCATCTCAACTCCCTCCCCGCTCTCTTGAACCAGTCGGCCTCCCACCCTAGGGGACGTCCTCCCACCCTAGGGGATGGTCTCTGTAGCTAACAACTTCCACCCCACCTGCTGCCCTCGTTTTATGCCTTTTTATCTGCAGCTGTCCTGAAGAGAGTTGGAAAATAGCTCCTCAACTTCCATACCTGAGAAAACCAGCCCCTTGAGATTCAAAGGCAATTACTTGGCTTCTTCCCTGGAGGACCTGAGAGGATGAGGTTGCTGATCAGGCAAAAAGAGACGTCCTGCAGAAAGCAGGAGTCAAGGCTGGACAAGGCCCCAAAAGGGTGTCTTGCAGCCAACTCACCCTACTGTCTCCACAGCAACACCTAGATACCCTCCACATACAAATTCTCTAGCTCCCAGCCAAGAATGAGGTAGCGTGGGAGGTAGAAGACAAGAGGGCAAGAACAGGGGGGAAATGAATCTAGAAAAGAAGGGGCGAAAGGGAGGGAAGGCAAAGAACAGAGGCCTTAGATCTTTCCTCAACCGTTCCTCTGCAGACTTAAAGACATAAGACCTCGTGGAAGGG